GTATAAAAAGCTCCAATATGTTAAGTCGTACAAGAGCATATTTGTGTAAGTGAAGAGGTATATGTGCATGAATACTCATGCATTGGTTAATTTATGGAACAGTGACCCCTACTTCACACCGGAGGCATCAGCTGCGCGGGAACGGTCTACTTTCAAGCTTTGCTGCGTGCCAGTACACACCGGGAGAATCTCAGCCGCTAAGCGGCTTCTTTGCCGTGCTCCTCGCTCGACTTGCGAGATCACAAAGATATTGTTCCTCTGCACTGCCAGGATTAAAGCCACGTAAGGCACATCATTGCACTTCTCCAACGATGATGGGGGTAAATAAGTTGTTGGGGTCACGTTTTGTAATAGGGCTGAGCGATATGGCCTAAAAATCAATATCACCATATATTAGGGCTGTCGCGATTGAGGAATTCCCCCTGCGGTGAGTCAGGGCAGCTCAATATTGCGATATGCGATATTATTGCACCTCGTTTTTATTTATGTACTTAGCAAATTTGTTTGTTAATTACTAAACTCATGGCAATATTTCCTTTGAAACATTGTGCTTACACATTTAAAAAATGTTAGAAAAAATACATGGCCATTTTTAACACTTTATTGAATGCAGATCAAAGGGCAGTAACGGCATTCTCTGACTGAACTTAAAAACAACATTCAGGAGGTTTAACTTTGAAATGCAAATTTGGCTGCAACATCTAACAGAAATAAAAAAAAGTGCCCTACTATCTCCTCGATCAGCGCGGACTTTACCTCTCAGCATGCGCTGTTGCGAGATTTAATCAAGCGCGGTAATTGCGGTGGCACGTCATGCAGCGCGGTGGGTTTCTTAATATCGCGATATATTGTTCTTGCGATTATTGTGACAGCCCTACCATATATTGAGGATTTCACCTCGATAACGATAAATGGACGATAACTACAGGTATGCACAGAGACAAAAGTAGTACACTAGATGGGGCTGTCCAGTGTATTACACTGAGTCACACTTTTACGTGACTCAAGGTGGTACAGCTTCTTTAAGAGACGTGAATGTTGCCGACCTACACACATATTCTCATTTTTTTATTATCAAATTTATTGGCATAGGAAAAATTATCTCGATGAGAGTCACAAATTTCGATAACGCTAAATGTTCGCTATATTGCCCAGCCCTATTTTGTAATCTACCTAGATCTGAAATTGCATCGCAGTATTCTTTTATTTTGAAACTTAAAGGAGGTTTTACACTGAAACAGTGTGCGATTTCCTGTCTAGCTCCATGTTAACTGTGAAAATTAACGTGTCCCAGAAGCAGCTCGCGACACTTGAAAAAACCTGTTGCGTTGCTGCTGGTTTGAATCATCCCCACAGACTATTATGGATTCTGTTTGAAGCAATGGCATTCCGCGCCGCTGATACTTCCGTAAGTAAGTGTAAGAGAACAAAGCTTTTCGTTTTATAAGCAAGTACATCTTTAATTGCATTTAAAATAAAACTTGAGGTAAATTTACTCTATCAGTATTCTCAGATGACATAAAAATAAATACAATTTTAATAAAAATGTTAACAAATAGTTTAAGTATTTTCTGTGTATCGCAATATATTATATCGTCTCCCCTATATCGTGATTTATATCGTTAATTCTTTCCAATACACAATCCTGAGTGGCAGTCCCATGCTGCCATTAACTTGTTTTGCGTTGTCATGGTTGCTAGGTGACAGGACATCCACCGCGGTAGGGCTGTGCGATATTATGAAAACCTGAGATATGATAAGTGATTAATATCTCGATGACGATATATATGACTTGCCATAAATAAACAAATGCTTAACTGAAGAGAAAAAAAAAACAAAGACATTTGAAAAATGACTAAAAAACATAAAAAAATAGGGGAAAACAAAAATTGTGATCAACAGATGTGGGGAAAGGGAAAAAGAAATTGAACAAGAAAAGACAACCAGTGGATCCCGGGAAAAGCAGAATCAGAGGAAAGGGCATAGCAAATCTAACTCAGGTGTTTGCTAGCCATCCGTCTCGGGGGCGGGCATATAACCAATAAGAACCCACCTGATTGGCCAATTGGGTGAAGAGCTCTATTTGATTTCTCAAAAACTTCATGCTTCCATTTGATTGACAAAATGCATTATAGCAAACATTTGAGCCAATCGTTAATTGTGTTTTTTCTGTTATTTGCAATATGCATAATGCGTATGCCAATGTCGCCATGACGATACATTTGCAATGTATTGTGCAGCCCTATACCATCCGAAGACCATCCAATTTTACAGCAGTTCACTTCTGGCCTTTCCAATCAACGAACACCCCAGTGTATGGTAGGTAGACCAATCTACGTCAAGCAGATAGGTCAAGTGTCATGGTCTGCGTCCCCCTCATGTGTTCTCCAGCCCCCCCCTTGTATGTCTCCTTGTGTTCCCCTCCAGGTGTCTCTCTAGGATCCCCCTCTTGTGTGCCTAAGCTTCCTGTGCCCCTGCTTGTCTCCAACTCCCACCAGGTTTCCCAGGTTCACCTATTCTTTCGTTTTCTTTGTATTTATATTATCCAGCTAATTTTTCACTATAGTTTCATAGGTTCAGGTTTTCTTCTAGGTTCCTTCCTTGGTCCTTCCCCACTGGTTTATTAGTTCTCCTTTCCTCCTTAGATCATTAGTTATTTGTCTTGTTCTTCTAGTCTTTAGGTTTGGTTATTATTCATAGGTCATGTTTCATTTTCCCCTCGTCAGCTTAGTTTCCTCTCCCTGATTAGTAAATTGTTTTCCCCCCGCCACGCACCTGCAGCTCATCTCCCAATCATCCTGCCCCTGAGTATAAAACCCTGTCTGTGTCTCAATGTGTTGTTGGTCCATTGTCCTTGTCAGCGTTGTTTGTCCACCCCACCCCCTTAGGTCTCTAGGTTTCTGGCTTCGTGCCCTCTTATGTTCTAGGGTTTTTTTTTTGGCTAAATCATTCTTAATAAAGAATGTTTTCTTTTACATCCTCTCCTGCTTCGTGTCATTCTGGGTATCTGCACATTGGGTCCAACTCCTCCGACCCACATTGTGACAACGAGTCCTTCAATCGAAGCTGAATATGGACCTGGCTGCATGTTTTGCTTGGTAAAGTGCAACGCAGTTACACATCCATGTGGGAACTTGTACAAATCTGTCCCATACTTAACGCCACATACCAAAGTATTTGATAACAAATAAGTACTATTACTCCCATGATATCTATGCGTAAAGGGACGCGTATATGTATTTCCATAGGCATTTACGTATCCTGGCAAACGTGGCTCCCGTCTTCCACAGCTATATGGTAGTGTTATTCCGTCGAAGTGTGTTAATTCCAAAATGAAACAAATGCTTCAATACAGTGGAAATGTGCAAAATATCATGTAACAACAAACTTCATCATAAATACAAGCAAACAAATTCCACTGGTGACACAATTTTATGTGCACCAATTACAAAACAAGACAGAAATATATGCATTAGATTGGGTCTAAAACCAACACTGGCAACGTTCCGGGAGGAACTGTTGGTTTATTTTTAAACCTGAATATATTTTAATATTTGGATAAGTGATGAGTGACGCATTAACTGAAACAGGAGGCCTGACCCATTCTCCAAAACTTTTGACAGCTTTGGCCTTTTTTCTCCCCCCAAATGAGTTACCCAGTTGCAAGATCAGCCCAAGGCTGACCTCAATAAATACTTAATCGCCCTCCGTTTAGTTCAGCCATGGTGAGGAATTGAGTGGCACAATGCAAACAAGTTAAACAACAGGAATGGCATCTAAAAAATCCAGTCCAAAGTCTCCTTAAAATGCAAGTTACCATGGGGCTGTCATGAGCAAATGACTGCGGGGGACAGGGAGGTGGTAGCACCACACACACACACACACATACACACACACACACACACACACACACACACACTCTCTTTCTCTCTCTCAAACAAGCGCAGCACTGCTGATTTGGATTCCTCTGGCCACAGCTGTGGAAAAGTTCAGCAGGGACAAGGAGAGAGGAGAAAGCTTAGCAAATTGGGAAAATATGAGAATTGGAAGGTGCATGGAAACTACCAAGTAGCGACCTTGTTTAAACTTTGAAAATGATCAGAGATGGAGGTGTGGAGCTGGAGCAGCGGCAGAGCGTCAAAAGGAGAGACCCTTTGCCTAACTATCACTCCATTTGTAGCGTCCTGACAGCCAGCAGGCCGTGCACCTAGCACATCCTGTTTACTGCTGACCACACGGCCAGGCGTGCTAGTACTCACATGTAAAGTTCGGATAGCAAAGACCTTTCTACATCCTCGAGTGCACCAGTTAAAATGAAGCTGTTGACAGTTTGTGAATCTTCTCATTAAACGATCATTTGAAAAAGCTCATTTATTTTTAATGTTACTCCGTCAAGAATTAACTTTTAGCCTCAACACAAACGACCGATTCTTACATTAGACCTCCGCATTAAGACTTCAGAACGGGTCAAAAAAGACCCTTTGACTGAGACGGTTTACGCTGTTTATGCACTGGGGTTATAGTCAGAACAGACCATAAAGTTTGGCATTTGGAACGGATAAGAACTCATCACCTATCTTGTGGTTACATGACACAGATATTTTCACGTCTTTACATATTAACACAAACATCAGACAATCGTGAAGTAGTTTTGCATGTTTTGAGCGAAGCCCACCACCAGCACTCTAACAGGAGAGTGAGTTAGTTGTTACTGAACTACTCTGTGAGTTATCGAATCTACGACTTGATTTGTGATCATTTAGTGTTAAAATGCACCTAAATTAGTGTGAAAGACAGAACCCGCCACCGGTTACAGAATCTTTCTAAAGAAAGCAAGAGGTCTGAGGTGTCTCGTCCCTTTGCTTTGCATCCAGAAGAGGGGGAGTGCAGACCACCAGACGGCTTTTACTATGAGTGGAAGAGGATGACAATAATCAGACGGGAGGAAGAAGGGTGAGAGGATCCCCTGGAGACGAGGCCACGTCGTGTAGCCTTCCTACCTGGCTGCTGTTGTCTTGGTGACTTTGTCTTGACAGATTTACCACCTGGACCACAAGCCTGAGTTCCTGGTTTGCAGCCTCTGAGATTAGCCTGGTCCTGGTTCTGGACGCCACCACGAGGCAAAGATGACCCCTCAATACGCTGCTTCATCTCAGATGACAGCAGGCGGCCCTTGTGCATCCATTCTTGCATCTTATTGACTGTAACTCCGTGGCCTTTGTTGGCCACCAGTGTTTGGACATGCTCTTGCCTGTGATCCTGACTTTGATGGGATGCCGCCTCAATGTTGCCGTCTGAGGAACCTGTGAGGCTGTTGATGGAGCCACTGCTCTCACTGAGCTGCCCGCCATGGTTCTCCTCACCTCCTGCATCTTGCAGCTGCTCCTCACTGCTGATGGTGCCACAAAGTACCCGAGGTTCAGATGCCTGATCTGATTTTGTGACTTCAGACGTTTTTGTTACTGAAGCTTCTTTGTCAGCGCTTCCTATTCCAGCCGCCTGACTAGATGCTGAAGGTTTGCTTTGATACCTGATCGCTCCATCACTAGCAGAGCGTAGTAACTTGGCTCTTTTGGTCTCTGAGAGGTCAGCCATGCTCCTACTGGTCAGTTTCAATTTTGACTTCAGATTTTCAACAAGGCAGAGCAGGAGTGATTCTGTGTCGGATACCTGCTGAGAGCTCTGGTTGCCTCCTGAGGACCAGGAGTCGCTCTCAGTGTTTCTGATGGACAACCTGGAGCACAGGCTGTCCCTGGAGTGGCTACTACAAGAGGAGGTGGCTTGCTGCTCAGCCAAACCACCACTATTCTGCTGGACATCCAGGCTGATGTCATTCATAGCATTGATTAGAAGATAATACGCCTCTTGTAGCTGGTTGCAAAGCCGGTCTGTTTCCTGGGCGCTGTTACCATCAGCCACTTGCCCTTTATCCTGACCGGGGTCTTCAACCTCTGCTTCATCTGTTTTTGGCCTAACCTTTTCATAAAAAGGAAGAATTTCATTATCATAATAATCATCATCTTCACTATCTAAAGGGTATCTATGTGGACGCTGGGAGGTGCACTGATTTAGGTCACAAATCTGCAACTCAGTAGGGAAGAAAGCCGGCGTCTGGGAGCTGACTGATGACTCTACAGTGTCCCGTACACACTCAGGTCCATAGCTTTCAATACTTTTAATTAAAACGTTTTCCCCTGTTAATACCAGAGTGTTTGGACACACCAGAGCTGCACAACTTTCTGGATTTGTCTCTAAAGTTGGACCTCTGTCCAAGCTCCAGTGGGCCTTGTCTTCCCCTACATCCACTACGGTTCCTGCCATGTGTCGTGAGGATCCTCTGCCCCCGAGCTCAGGACCGTCAACTGCCCGACCCAGTGCCGGTGTGACCACGCCTGAGAGTACCTGTGCTCGGTACAACACGTGACTAGCGTGGTCCCCAAACCCAATTGAATCCCCAACGCTGCGCTGCCTCTGCACCAAAACAAAATGGGTTTTCTGGGCATGCGGGTTCCCCGTGGTGGTTCTGAGTTCCCGCTGGCCCCCGTTCTCCTCCCTAAACACACTGTCCGTTAACGGCATAACTCTTTGAAGCGGGGCCCCCGGGAGCCCATCAGGCACACGGCCCCCGCTGCTCGGCTCCTGTGGACGTGCGCCTGTCGCCCCGGTCTGCACCAGGGCCGCTGCTTCCACACAATTCTCGTACGTGCTGGTTCTCTCTGTGGTGAAATCCATCCCTGTGAGTAAATCTACCGGGTGAGCCTCGTCCGGGTCTCGCTGCGTCTGCAAAACTTTTTCTTTACCTCCTCGGCTCCCGTTCGCCGCTGCAGCAGATCCGAATCCGCCGCCGTTCGTCGCTCCTTTTTTGGACTTCTTCCCCCGGAGTTTCGCTAGTAAAGTCCTCCGCAGAGGATCAGCCATTCCTTTCCTTTGCCCCCAGCTAGGTCCGGGCGGTGTCGATCAGCAAGCTGGCTCTAGGAGGGAAGGACCGAGAGGTTTGTCCTCGGTCAAAGCTCGCCGAGCGGACGCGCTCCTCTCCATGCTCCGCTGTCAGCTCCGCTCTGCCGTCCCACTGAAACGTACACATAACTCTCTCTCTCTCTCTCTCTCTCTCTCTCTCTCTCTCTCTCTCTCTCTCTCTCTCTCTCTCTCTCTCTCTCTCTCTCTCTCTCTCTCACTCACACACACACACACACACACACACACACACACACACACACACACACACACACACACACACTTCCTCTCCTCTAGTGCCTCACCTCTCCATGCATTTGTAACTAAAATCTTTGGAACTTGTTGGTTTAAGTTCGCAGATTATTATTTAAATAAAGATAAAAAGTCGATCTGCTAAATGACATTACTTGTGTTTGTACCCTGTAATTTGATATTTTAGGTGTGGCACTTAGTAATTATACATTATTTACAAAGTCAATAAAAACTGGTTTACGTATTTGTTATGTTTTCAGATAGAAAACGAAAAAGGATAGGTGGAAAAGGTGAAAGCCAATTCAGAGAAAAACAGCTCAAATATGAAAACTTGTTCACCCAGAATCTGAACAAACACTAAGTACAAGATTTTCCACTTCTACATCCTACTGGTTGAAAGCAGAATTACATAAACAAACCTGCACTGCTGTTGTTAGCTCGCCTGAAAATCCAGACAGCCAGTAGCTGAAGCTAAATGCTTTTGATCTGCTGGTCGGTCTAGCCATGCTCCATTGGTGCCGCAGTGCAACACATTCTCACACTCAAAACGTTGAAAAATGACGAAGGGTGACCAAGCGTTTCTTTCCGACGCTTCGGGCTTTTCGACACCCGCGGTAAAACCATCGACATATATACGGGGTAAAACGGGGATTTCATCAACATTTAACCTAACCTCTAGCGATTTAACCTTTCCCTCACTCCCATCCTAACCTTAACCCAGTTTCTCGTTCAAAATTTGACGTTAACCGTGTTTGACAGGAACGATACAAGAAAGAAAGTTTTGCATGCGCAAGTCATCAAATCAAATCAAGCTTTATTTATATAGCACTTTAATGCAAAGCAAGCAACACAAAGTGCTTAGCAGATTAAAATGACCCAAATAACCCACATTCCTTGCCTTTCCCACACTTAAAACAATTAGGATAGTCCCCCCCCCCCCCCCCCCCCCAAACCAAAAACCATTCCCAGGCACACACACTCGTACTCATAACACATTAAAAGACCACAATAAACGCCATCAAGGGAGCCATCTGCCTCGACAGCAGCAGATCCACGGCAGCAGCCAAGACACAAATCCAGGGCACCCTGGGAGGGAGGGAGGGTGGCAACTAGCGATGGGTACCGAATTATGCACTTTTTAAGGTACCGACCGAATTCCATAGTACCGACTGAGCACCGATTCACATCATTTGAAACGGTGCCTCGTTTCGGTACCCGTCCTTCATAACGAGAATTAGCCTAGACAGCTGCGCATGCGCAAGAGCGTTATGTCGTCGGTCGCTGCGAGCCCGTTGTAAACAGAGCAGCATGCAAAGAATGGACGCTAAAGCTTGGGTCCACTTCACTAAATGTGATGGGTAACTGGGTGATGATGAAACCAGCGACAACGATCTAAGTGAGACATCCTCATCTTAATCTGCTCCAGTTGGTAAATGAAATGTTTAAGATAACGTTAGCTTAGTTAGCTTCCGTTCCGCTAATGGTATGTTCGCTTTCTCCTCGGAATTCCGATTTTCCGACTAGAAGAACATGAACGCGCTCTAAAGTTTGGCTTCACTTTACTAAATGCGACGGGTGATTGGGTGAAGATGAAACCAGCGACAACGATCTAAGTGTGAGGCATCATCGTTTTAATCTGCTCCAGCAGCTAAATAAACTGTTTAAGATAATGTTAGCTTGATAAATTAGCTTCCATTGCCACCGTTGTTATCAGCTAATGGTGCGTTCGCTTTCTCCTTGGAAATTCTAACATCCCAGTAAGAAAAATCAAAGAAAAGGGACGGCAAAAGGAATGAAGATACACAGTAAATTTAGTTCACAGTAAAGATGTTTGCTTCAGTTTAATTATCAGCTTATAAAACTACAAGGACGATGTTAAAATACAAACAGTTGTATGTTATTTATCGTGATATTTATCAAATATGGTTATATATTGAGAAAAAAATATATTTTATTATAAAGGAGAATTAAAATATTAAACACTCAAAAGTATCGAAAATTGGTACCGTTAAGTACCGGTATCAATTCCTAGGTACCGGGAATTAGTACCGAATCGATTCAAATGTCAAAGGTACCCATCCTTAGTGGCAACCCCCACCACTACCTGGGCACTACCCTAGGAGCGCCCCAGCCATCGCCACCGACCACTGGTCCCGAGGCAGAGGGCTCCACAGAGAAAACACTGGAAGGATTAAAATACGTAACATGTAAAATCACAAGAGCTAATGCGGATAGTAAAATATCCAATAAAATGTGATTATATAAATTAAACAACATAAATATGTAACACAACAGTAATTAAAATAAATAAGTAAAACAAGCAAAGCAATGAATAGTAATCAGTTAAAAGGTAAACTAAAAAGATGGGTCTTGAGCCTGTTCTTAAAAACATGAACGTTCTCTGCGGCCCTGAGATCCTCCGGCAGCCCGTTCCAGAGGCGAGGGCCGTAATAACTAATAGACACCTCGCTGTGAGTGTGTGTCCTGACTCACACAAGTGGGTTAAGGTTAGGATGGGGGTGAAGGGTACGTAAAATAGCAAAAGGGTAAAGGTCACAATTCACTAAAATCTCTGTTTTACCGCAGGCGTCGGAAAGAGACGCTCTGGCACAGCTCGTCGACTCCCAAAGCGTTGGAAACAAACACTTGGTCACCCTTCATCATTTTTCGATGTTTTGGGTGTGAGAATGTGTTGCTCAGTGGGCCTGAAAAGTCTTGTGCCTTGCCAATCACAGCACTCTATTGGTTTGGTGGTTCAATCACATCCTCTATCAGTGATGCGGCTGAGTGAAACAACTAAGATGCCATCGTTGGCATGTTTTAAACAGCTTGGCATCAACTTTTGACTGTTTAAACTTGGGCTTTTCTAAGAGCCAAGAGCAGATATAGATACTTAAGTCTTTTATTTAGAAACATACTTGTTTCCTTAAACAAATATTTCACATCAGTTTCCCTCTGTGGAGTGGAGGATTGTGAGTATTTGATGCTCTTGTTCATCTAGAATGAGTCGGGAGGAGAACGACCGCTACTGACTCACAAATATGTAGAAGCGCTTTCTTCCTCCTCCCACTCAGCTTCCCCTCCAAGCCCTCTCCCCACATAGCAGACCATCATGTCAGCACAAGCCCATCGCCACAGTGGTAAAAAAAAACTCCCTGGGTTAGCTCCAATTGGCTGTTTTTACTCAGACATGAAGATTTTTTCCACACACCACACAAGTGTGAGATAAATAATTTTATCTTCACAAATAATCTGTTATTTGTCACTTTTTCGAGTAAACATGAAAAATGTTGTACAACCTGCTTTACAGTGGACCTGTGTCTGATATGATGATGTCTAGTGCAAACACAGGAAAATACAACTTTACCCGTTGTGAATTACATTTGTCTTCCGGTTGTATCTTCCACATGATAATTGGTGGATGGCTGCTTATACTGAGCCAGGATCCTCTGGAGGTTTCTTCCTGTTAAAAGGGAGTTTTCCTCTCCACTGTCACTGCATGCTTGCTTAGTATGAGGATTGCTGTAAAGACACTGACACTAGTCAGTGACTCGATGCAACCTGCTAGGTTCCTTATATAGGAAACTTTTTACTGACTGGCTTAATGAACTGACCTGGATTTGAGTGTTTATTTTGTGTAGTGCCTTGAGACAATTCTTGTCACGATTTGTCGCTGTATAAATAAATTGAACTGAATTGAATTGGCCCAACTCTTGTGTTTTTGTCTCTGGAACTCTTTCCCCCTGAGCCTGAGATCAGTGGACTCAGTGGTCTCCTTTACAGTTACAGTGTGGAGTTTCCTGCTGCTAGGGGGCAGTACATACTGTAATGTCCAGCAATGGTCAGTTTAGGTACTGTTTGACCAGTAAACATCTGGTCAAAACGGAGACACAAGACTGCACGTGTTCCCTTTAAATTAGCCTGCCTTCCTCACATCAGCTGGAGCTCAGAGCCTGCAGCTCTGACAGAGATAACGAAATCATAACATTGATATCCTTTTCTTCACAGAACACCCCTTTTATCTAAGTCTTCTTGCTTACAGAAGAAAGAAGATATTTAAAATTAAATATGAACTTCTAAAATTTACAAGCTAGATAATCATTAAATAAACGTTTGTTTATTGCTACTTACTGTATAATAATTATAAAATAATGAAATGTTCATGAATCTGTTTATATGTTTCAGCATGTTTACTTGACAAGGTCATAACATTTGCACTCACGCAAGAACAAAGTAAGGTAAAGTTAAATCCATGACACATAATTAGACTTTGCCCCAGATCAGAGCCTCCGGATCAAAGAAGGCGTGTTTCTGAGATTCTTGGTAAGTAAGAATAGGGGCAGTAACCAAAGGAAATGCATCTTTAAATAATTTGGTTGGGATTGGATCTAAAATGCAAGTTGAAGGTTTAGATGAAGCTAATATTTTTGATAACTCTGAAAGCTCAAATGGATCAAAACGGTTCAAACACAGATAAGGTTCTACAGTTACCTCTGATGCTGCCTCACTTACTGAGGAAGAAGAAATTGCATTAGGGAGGATGCTAAAGATTTTGTTTCTAATAGAATTAATTTTACTTGTAAAAAATCCCATAAAGTCATTGCTGCTGAGGGCTAAGGGAATAGATGGTTCAGAGCTATGATTCTGTGTAAGTTTGGCAACTGTACTGAAAGGAAATTTAGGATTATTCTTATTCTCCTCAATTAACGCTGAGAAATAAGCAGTTCTAGTTTGTCAAAGCTTATTTTTATGAAGCACAAGACTATTTTTCCAGGATAAGTAGGACTCCTCATGGTGTGTAGAGCGCCATGTTCTCTCCAATTTTCTAGTTTTGTTTTAAAGCTTGCAAATGAGAATTAAACCAGGGAGCCAACTTCCTGTC